GTCTGGAGTGTATTTTTTGGCTGTGACAGACCTTTCTTTGTTTCGTGGATGTTTTGCTGGCTTGTGATGGGGTGTGAACCGACAGTCTGTAGAGTTTTCCATCTGGTGTGGGTGAGTGATAGTCTACTTTGTCACAGCCCCTCATTTGTTGTCCTCTTCTCCCTCTCTGCCTACGGTTTACCGGGCAGTTCTATTTGACGATATATATATATATATTGACGATATATATATATATATTTTTTTTAAAAAGCAAGCAACCCATATATTGATAATAAGAATAAGAAGTCACATAATAGAGTAACAAAATGATAAATATTGAAACGGTTTTCACCTTTTAGCAGTAGCAGATGCAGTACCCAGGGCTCGATCCCTAGACCTCGCCCTACCCATGTACAGTATCGGTGTAGACCCCGAGAGTTGAACCTGTGACCTGTGTATTCGTAGACAGTTGGTAGGTCTGTCGTAGGTCCATAAGCATGTAGGTCTATAGGGTAGAAGTCTTAGCAAGTTCCAGAAGTCTAGCTGTAGTCCTTCTAGAAGGTCGGCAACTGGGCAAGTGGTCAAGTGGCGAGGCAAGTGGTGGACTAAACTGCAGTGCAATCGCAGTACGACGACGGTAGGATAGCAGTGAGTCCACAGACAGTCAGCGGTGAAGTCCAGTCAGTCCCAGTCCGGTCCAGCAAGTACCACGGGGGACTGTGCACACCATGGGCCGATGGCAAAGGGCAGACCAACGAGTTTCCGAAGTATAAATCAAGAGGCAGCGCCCAGCCTTTCATTCATTCCTGCGTGAGCCATGCGGAAGCGCTGTCACAGCGACTTGTGCAAGGAGGTCTGCAGTGAGCCCGGAGGACGCAGTGGGCGAGAGAGAAGGAGCTTAGTATAGCGATAGGGTAGAGGCAGCCATAGCTGCCATAGCTGTAGTTAGTGTGAAGTGTGTGTGTAAGTGCGAGTGCTCAGAGTTACGCGTGTGGGATATCGAGGGTGATCCAGTGTGTGTGAACAGTGAGTTGTTTGGGCGCTGAGTCGCCATATCCAATTGAGAGTGAACTCGTATCTGGAAGCCATATCTCTGAGTTTTGAGTGGCCGCATGTCGCCAGTTTGCTGCGTTGCTGTTTACATGCATGAAAAGTGTTCTGATTGCAATATGGAAAACTAAAAATTAAATAAATGATAGTAAATAATTCATAATAATAAATAAATAATAATTAATTAAAAATTTTCATTAAAAAAAAAAAAAAAAAAAAGATAAAAGAAACTAATCAATTAAATAATAATAGAAAACAAAATCAAAATTATTTCCCGCACACAACACCCCCGGATACAAGCTCCCAATAAAATGCAACAATGTTTATTTAAAAATGTCCACAGAAAAAGAGCTGAAAAACTTTTAAACCACACACGCATCACATCGAATGCCCACTCCCTATTCACGGTAATACACGACACCCACGCTACCTGCAACTAAACGAACACCCACAACACATAAATAAGCATACAAGAAATAAGCTAGATACCGGTTATGGGACAATTAAAAAAAAAAAAAAAAAAAAAAAAAAATCTAACAACGCTAGCACCCACTTCACTGCATACACAAAAAGAAGTAACCTCCGAAAAAAACAAAAATCCCACGCGGGCCCAAACCAAACGACACCCGCGCCAAGTGAAACGAATAAACCACACACATCACCACTTCCAAACGACATGACTGACTCCACACACGACAACGACAGAAGCAACATGCCGAACAAATCCCAACCCACCAACGATCACGCACACATGCCATAGCCATTTCAAAACTCCAAAACGACAAGACAACACAAAAACTACACAGCACTTGCACTCTAATAGGCCAAGCACAACTAGTGAACAAACACAAAGCATGCAAAACGCTGCTTCACACGGGCATACCACCCGCACTACCCCTTGGTGCATGAAGAAATCACACACAAACACCCCAATCCCCCTCAGATTTACTATAGCTATGGCCCTCGCCGCCACCCTCCCCACCAAATACGCACACACCCTGATTATATCATACCCACTCACCATACATCAAAGAAATACGAACCCTGCAACACCATTACGATACTCTCAATATATAATATACATACTACCACTGCAAAGAGCATCTACAACAAGGTAAACTTGCAATGCTCGACGCTCGCTCCCCCTCCCACGTTCACCTCTCCGCAACACTACAGCATATTCTGCCTTCCTCGCCTACGCTCGTGTGCCGAGCAAGCAAGAGCGACCTAATGCTCGCGGACCTACAACGCCATCGCTAACACTCTCTAATCCCCTCCTGCTATCACTGAGCTCCATTGCGTTCTATGAGCGGCCTAACACACAGAGGGAGAATGGCGTTCGTTGAAGAGATGTCGTCTTCACAGGCATTCCGCTCACAGGTATGGGTTCACTCGAATATACCCCCCTAACCTTCCCTAAGCCCCATCTTCCCTCACCTCCCCTTAACCTCCGTGACCTACAAACTAACGTGGAGCTACATCCCTCTGACGAGCTGCTATGGGTGCTAAGCAGCGAAAAGCGCACATCAGGGCGTGCACCCCCTTATGGCTGTCCTCAACAACCATCGCTA